AATTAAGGTGATTTAAAATGGATTTAAATTTCTGGTTGTGCTTCCTAATTAGATTAGGAGCTCGTTTTTAATTGGATTAAAATCGTATTTATGCTATTTTTGGCTTACAAACTCCAATTTTGACTCAAAATTAGTGAATTATGAGTGGAATCGACGTTTTAAATCATGTTCTATCCACAAAGTATTTAAAAATGACCTTTCAGAAGCCAAAATCCACCCAGAAAGTGGTTTTTCGAGGGGTTTTCCGTTTTTGACAAAAAATTTTAAATCTTTAAACCTTGATTAATTATGGCATGCAATTGTTGGATTATGTGTTTGATTATACCATTAATGTTCTGCAATTTTAACCCTCATTAAGCATGTTTATGAAGTCATAATTGGTGCTTAATTTGATTAGCTCTTATTTTCACATAAACTTGCAATTTCACATTTTTGCAAATTAATTGCTTGGAGTGTGAATGTTTATGGTGAAAATATATTTTTGAAGCCCCTAAAATATTAAAGATTCAATCTTTAATGGTTTTTTTGGTTGGATCTTAACTTTCTAAAATCCATATTGAACAAATTTTTGGTTTTAATCGTTTTTAAGTTGATTAAAGTCTTAAATGTTCATACTTGTGCTTGAAATATTATTGTTCTTCATATTGAAAGATTACAATATTCAAATGTGCACAAGTGAGTGTTGGATAAAAAAAAATTATTAGATAAATAATTATTTATTCAACTATTTTGTCAAATCTCATTATTAATTTATGCGGTTAAATTAATTGTGAGAATAGCCCTCAATTTTTGTAGCATCAAGTTGTGCCAAAAATATTTTAAAGAATGGTTCTTGAATTAATTTCGGTTTGTGCACTAAAATTGAATTTAATTAAGTTAGACTTGTTATTTTCATATTGCTTAATATTTAGAATGAATTTAGAATGAATTTCTTTTTATGTCACACACAAAATTGGAATAAAATTTCGAAGAGCAAGCACGTAAAACGAGGCACCAAGCCTCGAGCACAACCCTCGGCTAGCTGGGCTGCTTGCGCAACCCGCATGTGGCTGCCGAGGGAGTGCACCGTGCTGGTGCGTGTGTGGATGCGAGCAGCAACAACTTGGTGCGGAGATTTGCGTGCGTGTGGCGTGAGGTTGATGCTGCTAGGCAGTGTGCAGCTCGTACAACGTAGCATGGGCCAGCACATGCATGCGTGCAAGCACGCTGCTAACGCTAGCGTAACGCAAGCTAAGACACTGTTAGCGACTAGCAGGTCGCTTGACGCTGCTGTGCTTACGCGAGCAGCACCCACGCATGGCTGCAGGGCCATGGTGCCTAACAAGCTAAGCCTCGTGACTTGGATGTTAAGCACTCGGGCGTTTGAGGGGCTCTGAATTTTGTGATTTTGCTTTTTTTTTTTTTATTTTAATCAAAACGAGGCTAGGCCTCGGTTTTTGCCGGCATTTGCACGGCATTTGCAAAATAATTTTGCAAATTTTTGGGTAACCGACTTAATTAATTTTAATTGGATTAATTTTAATTAAGTTGGATGTGGAATTTACTAGGAGCTTCATTAATCGTTTTGAGCTATTATTATTGTGTTAATTCACATAATCGGATAACAACTTTGACTAGTTTTAATTAGGCGCGTTAATCGGATTAACCACCTAAGTTAGTTACTAGTTTGCGCGTGTTTTGCATTGTTGCTTAATTTATTTTGTAAAATGCTTGGGTCATTCACTTTAGAAGTGAATGGGTGAATGGAATAGATATTCTAATGCAGGTTTTACAAAATGGCAACTAGTGGGGCTCGACTAGGATAGTAAATACGGACTATGTTCCATTTTTGTATTTTTGTAAATCTAAACACGGACTGCGTACCGTTAAGTATTTTTGTACTTAAATTATTTAGATTAGTCCTAGCTTTTCTAGTAATTGCATAATTGGTGGTGATGTCTTGAAGTCTGTGTTTCTAAGAAGACGAAGCCAAGAAAATGCAATGAAGGCCCTTGAAGATTCAAGTTTCAAGGGGTCATGCTAGTTTCCAAATGCATCTCTATTTATGCCCTATATTTTTTACTTATATATAATTGCGATATTAGATGCATGTTTAGGATTTCAAATGTTGAATGATTAATTTAGTTCATTTAAATCAACCAACATAGAAACCCTAACTCCCATAGAATATTGAGTTAAATTTGCTATTCCAAAATGACATTTATGGAACTAATGAGAATAGTAATGGGCTATGCCAAAGCAAGACATAACTACTTTCCTAGGGAAGTAAGGTATGTTGGTGGGCTTGCCAAAGCAAGACATCATATACACGTTAGTTTTGGTTAAACTCAACGATATCAGTAAGGAGTCCTTAGATGTCGTGGCAATGGAGATAAATGTCAAGAAAGCATTAGATGAGACGTTTTATAGAACCAAGAGTAGCTTAGTGGTATTAGCAATTAAATTGCTTACCTTAAAATATTAAGTGTTAAGACAAGCCAAAGCATGCTTAATCACTTTTTGATTTTTGGGATCTTGGAATCGTTTTATTCTCACCTCATTGGGACAAATTTATAAATGTGTGAATAGAACGTAAATAAGTTAATTGAAATTGCTTGGTTGCATGTATTTCAATGCTTATTATGTTATCTTGATAAATGGTGATACTTTGCACTTATATTTATAGAATTCTAAATCAAATTTTAATGTTTCCAACGATTGGTAAAAGGAAATCTTTTGAGAATGATTCTCAAGGAAAGAAAAGGCATTTCTAAAATACAACTGCTCATAAATGACTTTTATAGCTTAGTCCGAAAGGACAGTTGGACATCATGTATTCAAAATACTAGGTAGTTTTGATAAATATGAAGCATTGAGATGAAAAACTCAAATTCTCAATAGTTGACAACCAACATATCTTTTCGCTTCATACACTAATGAGTAGGACTTATTGATGTAGTAATTCAAGTACGAATTAAAGGAAAAGATGGAACTTTGTTTTACGGCGCATCAGATGCTTAATTATGCCTAACAATGTATAAAAGTGAAAACACTTAAAGAAATGGTTCTTAAAAGTTATGAGATGATGTATGATAAGAAATATAGGAAACAAGGAACATTGGAAAGGAATTTGAGATTCCAATTCTACCTAAGAGTTCATGTTATCGTAGTTAAACTAAGCAACTCATTATCTTCACAAGTATCGAATACTGCTTGAGTGTTCCACTTTTAAAGTGAACTCAAACCATTGAAGTTAAGCAAAGTTATTGACTTACAAGCTTGGAATGAAGCAAGTGGTGCTACATCGGTTGTAAGGTCATCTGCTTTGTTTAAAGACCTTTTAAAGCTAAAGGCTGGAACAAATAATGGTTATTGTGTTCCATAATCAGCAAATGATCCGTTTACACATGGAAATACTCACATTCAAAGTAAAAGAGCAATAGTTGTTGGTTTTATTTGAATGACATGGTTGTTTAAGCCATGAGTCAAAGATGCTTGGTTATAAACAAACATTTATCTAACATGAAAACTCACAAGGTTCAAGTCATGGACATGATTTGTGTTCCAAACATCTTTAGCAATGTCACATCGACAAGAACATACTCAAGGCTCTATCAGATAGACTCTTGAAATTTGATCGATTTAGAATTATTCTAAGACAAGCAGGTCTTACTTGTTAAAATCGAAAAAGAAAAGAGCTATTGTGCTTGGTATAGACAATTGACTGCAAAAGCTAAAGAGGATTCCATTACTTCAAAGTTTTCACAAAAAATTTGAAAGAATATGACCATATTCATCAAAGTGAATAAATTGGATCTTGAGTAGCTCAAAAGTTCAGTGAAGTATAGAATCGACTTGGCAAAATATCAAAACGTCTAGATTAGATCGAGCGATGTTTGCTTGAGCCAAGAGTGATCATATCAAGGTTATGAAATTGGAATTTCATAATTAGCTCCACAAAGAATATAGTATGTCTTGACGGAGGCCTCGATGCCATTTGGAAATGACTCGAATGATGATGGATCACATCCCTTCCTATAAAGTCGTTAAAGATTTGCACACGTGTTACACTAAACAAAATTGTCAAAGCTAAGAAAGGACACCATATTCAGTTATGGATAGAAATAGTTTCTAGCGTCTTTTCAATTATGTGTCTAGGGCTCTTAGCTTAATGGGAGCTCATTGGCTCAATGGGAACTAAGTGGCTCAATAAGAGCTAAGGTAGCTCAAGTGGGAGCTAACTGTTTGTTTCACAACAAACTTTTACCCAAAGACAATATACATGTCTCTTTATAAGCATTCATGTGAGATTACGGGCATTACTTCCACAACCTGATTGAGAACATAGTATTGTTGCTCTAAGTGGTTTCATTCTGAAAAATAACACAATTCCAAAACGATAAGTGAGAGGAAAATGAACTCGATGACCATCGAGACAACAAACTAGAAAGGAGAATCTTGGAAGGCTTTAGAAGGGCTTCATGAAAATGATTGATCAAGAATATTCAAAGGACTTTACAAGTGCCTTATAAGAGAATTCATTACTCACAAAAACTTTAGAAGTGTGGGAGTAAGATCAATATAATCAAAGGGCTTTAAAAGCGCCTTGAGACTCAGTATTTGATGCAATTACCCCGTATAGGTATAAAATTCACCAAAAGGCTTAGATTGAATCATGTAAAGTTTCTATTAAGTTAGAAATAAACCTAAGACTTACAAGCATACTATTTACTATTGGATGGTAAGGGAATAGTGTCTTATAAATTAGTTACGACAAATTCAAATTCCGAATAGTGGTTAGAGGCCATAAAAATCAGAAACAGACTCCATGTTTGAAACTTGATTAATTTGCATGACGGGTAAAAACCCATCAAATGCAAATAATTTTTCAAGGAGAAAACTAACAAATATGGAATTGTATATGTATACATAGCTAGATTAGTTGAAAAGGTGATAATTAAATTCACAGCGTTGATTTTAATAGAATCTATTCACTAATTGGAATGCTTAAGTCTTTTCGTGATTATTCTAGCAAAATTGCGCATATGAAATACGGCAAAATAGATACCAAAACCTTGAACTGTTCAATGGGTTAGGGGCCCATTTAAAACCCTGACCCAACCCTTTTATAAACGGGTTTTATCCATCCAATATTTAAATGGGGCGGGCTTTTAAAGGGTTATTACATAATAGGCTTTTAAAGGGTTGAGTCTAAGTTAAAAAGGGCTGAAATTGGATAACTCTTATGAGGCGTTTTTTATCCTAATTTTTCTGTTTCTAAAACTTCCTAACATCAAATTATAATACCTTGAAAAAAAAATTCCCAATTTCCCCCAAATTACGAACCCTAACAAATTCCCAATTTCCCCCAAAAATAAAAAAATTAAACGTTTTCTCTCTCTTCTTATTCACCAGCAAAAAATTTATGTATGAACCCTAAATATTTTTTCCTACTCGAATTCTTCGCTCTGATTCTCACAAATTGCTACTCTAATTATTCTCTCCAAATAGACGTTCAGATTTCACACATTGTTGCTCCAAATTATTGCTCGAAGTCGGTCAAATCGCTAGTCGTTCAGGTATTGATTTTGGTAATTTTTCGCAATTCTACTAATTTTGGCTCAAAATTATGTGATTAAGCTTTTGATTTTGTAAGAATTTGTTGATTTCGAAATCCTTGCTCTAAATTTGTTAATTTTTTTGTCAATTTGTTGCTGATGTTAGTATTGCTATCTCTAGAAGTTTTCGGGTTTTTTAATTATTCAAGTAATGTAGAGGCAATGTTAGATAGATTATGGATTTCCTACTTGTTGCTATCTCTAAATTTCCCAAATTACGATTGCCCTATTGCACTATTTTATATAATTTCCGTTTATGAATTTGATTGCTCTTTTTGAATTTGTAATCTGAAATTTCAGTGTGAAATTGTGATATAAAGTGATGGTTTAAGTTGTAGCTATTCTTTTTTGTTACCTGGAAACATTTGGATTTATGGATGTACTAATGTACTAGTAATTTGCAATGTGAGGTTGACAGACTACTAATAAATTGCATTGCCTCTTTTGTTGTCAATTTGATTTTTTTTTTTTTTTTTTTTGTTACTTTTGTGCATATTTAGTGGTTTCTGAAAATTGGGAAATAAAGTTGTTGGGATTATATTTGGCATATGTATTCCTGTAGGCTGTACCAAAGTTTGGTTTGTTTGTATGATTTGCTGCCAACCTAACGTTTGTATTATTTGGTGAAATTTGTTTTTTGGATCAATAATTATTAATAATTATTATTATTTACCTACTTTTGCAGTTTTTTTTAACTATAGAAAGTGAAGCAACTACAACATCAATGCCGGTAGATGATGAGCTTGATGAATCTAATGCCGCCCATAAGCGTAAAAGGAGTAGAAAATCTAAAGTTTGGCAAGAAATGACGGAAGGAAAGAATGCAAAAGGTGAGTGAATTGCTTTTTGTAAGCATTGTAAAGTGGAGTTTATTGCCCACAAAAATAGTGGCACATCTCATTTAATACGTCATTTGCTTGAAATGTGTAAAAAAACAAACTAATGGACTTCCACTTGGGGAGGCGGTTGATGATGAGGAAGAATTTGTTTTTGATATGAGTGAATTAAGAAAGGAGATTTTATTGTATGTTGTTGAAGGTTCTCATTCTTTTTCGACCGTGGAAGAAAAAGGTTTTAGGCGGATGATGTTAAAGTCTAATCCTAAATTTAAACCATTTAGTCGAACAACTTTACTAGAGACTTTTTTTCTTTGTATGCCTCTTATAGAGAGAAATTAAAAAAAAAATTGAGGAGTGCACCCGGACGAATATGTTTGACAACTAATAATTGGAAATCATCATACACTTGGCAACGTTACATTTGCATAACCGCCCATTTTATTCATTATGATTGGAAACTTCATAAAAGGATCATTAAGTTCACATCATTGTCACCCCCTTTTGATGGACAAAGCATCTCTGAAGAGATTTTTATGTTTCTTAACCAATGACATTTAGATGACAAAGTTCTTAGCTTAACAATTGACAATGCAAGTTACAATGATGTGATGGTTAAGCACATGAAAAATCGTCTTAGATCAAGGGGAATGTTGGTTAGTGGTGGTTGTTTTTTTTCATATTTAGATGTTGTGCTCATATCATTGATCTTATTGTCCAATCCGGTCTATCTTGTATTGAGAACATATTAGATAGGATTAGAAACTTGGTAAAATTTGTTATAAGATCATCTTCTAGAAGCAAGGATTTTTATGATACCGCTCAAAAGCATTTTCATTTAGAGGCTAAGAAGAAACTTCGTATGGACATGCAAGTTTGTAGGAACTCTACATATATGATGCTTGATAATGTGCTTTACTATAAAGATGTGTTTATTCATTTGGGGTCATTACATGCATCTTTCAAGAGTAATGTGCTTTTGGAGGATGAATGGGATAAATTGAGTGTTGTTCACAAGTTTTTGAAACTCTTTTATGATGTTACATATATGTTCTCGGCCAATAAGTCTCCAACTTCTAACATATATTTTAAGGGAGCATGTATGGTGCATCGTCGTTTACTTGAAACATCTAAAGATCCACATGAATTTTTAGCTCAAATGGTGTTACCTATGTTGGAAAAATTTGACAAATATTGGTCCGAGTATACATATATCTAGCTTGTGCGGCAATCCTTGACCCAAAGTTTAAGTTAAAGTTTGTGGAGTATTGTTTTGACAAGATTTATGGTTCGGATGAGGCTATATATAAAGTTGAAAAAGTGTTGAACACTTTAAGATCTTTGTATAATGAGTATTTCAACTTCCCCAATTGTTGCTCCCTCTACTACAAGTAGTAGGATTGAAGATGAAGACTTCTTTGATGATTATCAAAGCTATAGTTCAAGAATTACAAGGACTCAAACAAAAAAGTCCCAACTTGAGTCATATTTGGAGGAATCGGAGCTTGATTTGAACATGGAGCTAGATATTCTAGAGTATTGGCAACAAAATGTAGTGAGATTTCCGGAGCTTGCAATATTGGCACGAGATCTTCTAACGATTCCGGTTAGTATGGTGGCTCCCGAGTCGGCTTTTAGTGTAGGGGGGAAAACTATCTCCTAATCGTAGCACATTGAAACCCTAAACGATTCAAGCCCTAGTTTGTGTTCAAGATTGGCGCCGTGATGAATATAACATCCCTTCAAATTTGGATCGGGTGATTCTAGCTCGGATGATGATGAGGCCGTTGATGATGGAGATGATGACGATGAGGTTGATGATAGTTTCCTATACTAGGTAATTGTTTTGATTTTTCTACTCTTATTGTTATAATCTTGCTTTTTTTCTTGGTATAAATGCCGAAGAGAAGTATTTTTTGCTGGGATTCAGCTAGAGATTTGTATTGAGTATTACATGTCTGATGAAATGCTTGAGTAATACACTTGAATTTTTACTATGACTTTATGTCATTATCCCATCTTAGGGGCTGCTTCTGTCAATGCATCATATGATTACCATTGGAAACTTGGAATAACTGATGCCTGATAAAGGTTGTGTGAAATGTTCTCGCAGCCATCTATAATGCAGTATATGTTGAGGCTGCTGCAACCCAAATAATGGCTTAACCAAATGGGTTTGGTAACTAGGATATGGGCAACAAAACCCGGCATGATTTGTTTAGACTAGCTCTTCCTTAAAATAACATTGCTTAGTTACTTGATTGTAACAAATTTGTGACAAGAGCATTGCTCAGTTCTTTACTTTTAACTTGTTGGCTAAGACCCTTTATAAGGCCCCTTAAAGGCCCTTTATAACTCTCTTATATTGTGTTAACTTCATGGTTGTTGTAGTATGTTTATACATTTTGAATGGGCCGGGCCGGGCTTAATGGCCCATGGACAAGTTCGGCCCATATTGGATTAGGCTTGGCCTGGCCCATTTCATATAAAGCCCAGCCCGGCCCATTGAACAGGTTTACCAAAACCGCCTTCCTAAAAAAAGGGTTTTGGAAGAGACTAAGGAAACAGTTTAAGGGTTTTGATTAATCTAACTAATGCTAGATTTGAAAGCAAGCTCTAGAAATCCATTGGTGGATTGAGGGAAGCATGTAGGAATTGGAATGGGTTTTCTCATAAAGTTAATATAAGGTTTGGCTTGTTGAGAAACATGGAAATTCTTTAAATAAAGAACTTTAGTGGGAGCAAAATTCAATTTTGTTAGGTCCAATAAGAAATTTACGAACTCTATTGTAAAATAACTATCAAATGCTAAATGCTTAGATTTGAAAGAATTTTTCAATGATGGACCAAGCTAAAGGCATTACTTAGTACATAGTGGGAATTAAGAACTATTATATAGACTTAATAAAATGTTTGAACGAGTAAAGGAATTACCGTATTAAACATGAAGGACTTGAAAAGGCCTTCAATCCATATTTATAAGACTAAGTAATTGTTTGAACTAAGTATAAACTAGGCAAATACTAAGTCAAACAAGAAAGACTCGAGTAGAGACTTCCAGCCATATAGCAAACAGTTTAGCAAGACTCATTGAAACTGGATGAGCTAAAAATCATATGAATGGGATCAAATTGGAATAATTTTGCAATTAGATCCATCATGTATTCTATGATATGGAATCGTCACATGACCTGCATGTTTAGAGCATGACAAGTATAAAATACCAATCGACTTGAATCTAAGCAATGGATCTTTAGATTATGATCAAGAACGTCCAAAGTACTTGGTTAAGTAAAAGGATGAGTTCTTGATGCATGGAAACAAATATAATTTGAGTATTGATGTTGCAAGCACAACCTCAGCAAGGATTAGATCCTTGATGAGGAAGCCATTTATAAGCACGAGGTTAAGACGTGTCGTGGCTTGCGAATGGCAACATGAACTTATGTCCATGTATATTGTGCGAAAATTTAAGGTAAATTTCCATAATCACAAATGCTTAGGGTATCCAAATCATTGTGAGCCAGTTGGAGTAAAATCCAAGCAAAGTATCATTAGGAAATATGCTAAAGTATATGTTAACATTGCTGCCTTAAAGGCAATAATAAGGAAGTTGTTAAGTGGATTGTTCGTTGTTGAACTTTGATGATTGTAGGTTGCCAAGTTGAAGATCTCAAATCATGAAAATGTGTGGGAGCCATTAGTTGGACAATAAATCCTAAATCACATATAATCCATAAACACACTCGAATTTTATCATCTTATTATGAAAGTGTTCGATAATGAAGATTGAAGATGCTAAGATTTGCAAAGTAATCATAACTAAACCCATGCAATAAGTGAACCACAACATTCACAATTGCATGAAAGAAATCAAGCATATTAGATATGAGTATGATTTCTATAAATGTTTTGTAAAGAGTATTACTCTAAAAACATTTGGGGAAAACTATTTATCGAAAGATGAAACGTTGAAAAGTTTCATAGTTGAATAAATTTCTTTTACTAATAATTCCACAAAATATTTAATTGTGGTTTAGAATTAAATAATAAGTCCATTTGATTTGACGATATTCAAAATATGGTATCAAGACAATGTCTTGGATAAAGAAACACCTATTAAGTGAACGTTGAATATCATATCGAAACTATCCCTAATCGAGGTCATTTGAAAGTTGGACGATTAATGACCGCGTGAGATTAGTGTGTAGTATGATTTATAGCAGTGTTTCTTGTGCTATAAGGACAAAAATGTCATAAATCATTTGCACAAGTATAAGTTTGGAACTGTATCGGATCGACCAATGAGAATACTTTAAGAGACTTAGCAATCGTCATAAATATATTACTCATTATGGCTATCGGAATCTCTTTCCTCAACCATGAGTATTGTAAGTTCTCTTGTTTAAGTACTAGTCCGCTTTGATGTTGTCAAACGTCTGTCGTACTAGGGGGCTATAAAGGCAACACTCGAGCAGTTAGGGCCTCTTAGTAAGGAAGCTAACTATGCAAGACTGGGAATGTCCCCTTATTAACAGTAAGGAACATGTCTTTGTTGTTTATAAACCTGGGCACGAGCCGGGTTGGCCCGCGTGCCGCCCGGCACGGCCCAAATTCAAGCACGGCACGACACGAAGATCAACTCCCGTGCCACGGGCCGTGCCACGGACAGGGTTGAGAATTCCTAGGCACGGCCCGGCACGAGCACGGCCATGGCCCGCCGTGCTGGCCAACGTGCCGGCCCGCAGGCACGGCCCGGAACGGCCCGCGGGCTAACAGTAATATTACCGTTTATTCTAGCTCCTTAATAAGCCAAAAAAACGGCTAAAAAACGACTAGTTTTTTGCCAATTTGCTCCCCAAAAATTCTATAAATACTCACCTCCATTTCATTCCCAAATCACAAAATCACAATCTCTTCTTCTTATCTCTTATATTCTCTAAATCTCTAATAATCCTTATTTTCTTAAATTCTCTAATTATTCTCTTAAATTCTCTAATTATTTTCCTAATATCGGAAAAAATTAAAAAGTTCGTAATCGTAATTAGTGGAGCGTTGAAGCACGGTTGTAAGATCTAAACTAATCTTAAATTTATTATTGTTTTATTGTTATTATTAGAATAATCTTGTTTAATTATTATTGTTGTTAATTGTTATTGTTGTTGTTATAATTGTTGTTATTAATTATTATTATTGTTACAATTGTTGTTACTATTTATTTTTGTTGTTATTGTTATTGTTATAGTTGTTGTTATTACTTAATATTATTGATATTTTTATTGTTAAAATTGTTGTTATTAATTATTATTATTATAGTTAACCACTTTTTATTAAAAAATTAATTGTTGATTATGGCATCGAACAACCCATCATCTAGGTCTAGGGGGAAAGGCCGACTTATCCGTAGTAGTAGTTCTAGGGAACCACCAAATACAACGAGCCCCCAAATTACGAGTCAAACCAATGACCCCATTTACTTCCCCCCGGGCTATGAGCCATATAATACGTCGGGATTTCCAGCACCACCACTAAACCAATTTCCACTACCACCATACCAATTTCCACCTAATTATATCGGTGATCAACAAAACTATTGTTCTAGCCAAGGTAGCCAAGAAAGTACCCGAATTTCCTCCGGTTCTACCCCTTCTACTGCCACTCCCACTAGTCCCATTACTAACCATCACACACATCATGAATGGTTAACCGAAACTGAGATGCTACTTTTGAAAAATCGAAGGAGTGAGGTATGGCGTTATTTTGTCCTAAGTAAAGATGGTGAACAATGGGCAAAATGTAAAACATGTAATAGTGTATTCACGGCAGTTACCAAAAACGGGACGGGACACTTATCTAGACACATGAAAGCTTGTGCAAAACCAGCTAGTGATCCAACCCAGCCCAAATTTCCCAATTCCATCCATACGGCTTTACATACAACTATGAGAGGGATAGGGATGAACTAGGAAAAATGATAGTACACGCCGAACAACCTTTTCTTTTCTCGGAAAATGACGCATTCAACACCTACATTAACAAAGCACTACAACCCCAACATAAAAGAATCTCTAGGAAAACCGTTCGTTCCGCCGCAATGAAAAATTTCCTAGAGTACAAAGTCCGGTTACAAGCCGAATTGAGTAACCTTAACTGTAGAGTATCTTTAACAGCCGATTCTTGGGATAGTGGTTATAAATATCACTATTTATGTGTGACTTGCCATTGGGTAGATGATCAATGGATGTTACAAAAAAGAATAATACATTTCAAAATGCTGGAATACCCACACACCGGCATTAACATTGCTCACCATTTAATGCAAGCAATAGACGAATACAACCTTCGAGATAAAATGATGTCTATGACTTTTGATAATGCAACCTCTATGACATACACAACTAATCTTATCAAACAAAACTTAACCGATGTACTATTAGACGGTGAAGCTCTTCATACTAGATGTGTTTGCCATGTACTTAACTTATGTGTACAGGATGGAGTTCGGGCAATTGGCCCATACTACAGCAAAATCAGAGATGCTATTATGTCTATTAATAACTCTAACATGAGATACCAAGAATGGAAGAGTTTTCTAAAACAACAAAAGATAAGGGTAATAAAAATTAGAACCGATTGCCCAACTAGGTGGAATTCCACCTATGACATGTTAGCAAAGGCAATTGAGTACAAGGGCCCGTTAACATTATTTTACAACCAAAAATTTCCACAAAATGCTTTGTATGATGATGATTGGAAAAACTGTGAAAGATATATGCAATTTTTACAGTTATTATATAACATGACGTATTGTTTTTCTACTGTTTACAATCCTTGTGCTCAAAACTTTCTTTCTAATGCATGCTTACTCGCCCAACTTTTCGCTGATCATCGCCATCAAAGTGATTATGATCAGTATCTTCCAGCAATGGAAAAAAAGTGGCGTAAATATTATAGTGAGATTCCTTTGATTTATATTTTTGCTTCCATATTAGATCCTAGGCAAAAGTATGAAAACACATTTATGTTAGTTGACATTTACTTTCAATGCATGTTTCTTGACGATGATGTAGAAAACTATAAGACTAATGTGAAGGATCAGTTTTTTGCTTTATATAGAGTCTATGAAGCCAAATATGGCACCGTTCCTCGCTCAGGGCCTTCCCAACCATCCAAAAACGTAAGTAAGAAGGCCAAACATTTATTTTCACAAGCTACTAACTTGATTTCAAGGTTTTCAGGTGATTCATCAATCAGGAGAACGCAAAGCGACGTCTCGGAGTTGCAGATGTACCTGAGTTACGACTTCACCAAAGGCATGGACGACGATGAGATAAACAACCTCGACCTCCTTGCATGGTGGAAACAACAAAGCTCGAAGCATCCAACTTTGGCGGCAATGGCACGAGACATTCTTGCTATCCAAGTTTCCTCCGTCGCCTCCGAACGAGCTTTCAGCGCATCCGGAAGGGTTTTAGACGATAGAAGAACAAGTCTAAAACCCGAAACACTAGAAATGTGCGTGTGTTTCAAAGATTGGTTGGATGCGGAAAATCGCTCACAAGACCGTTCTTACGACCACAACGACAACGAAGAAGGAACCTCCGCTTCCGGTTCGGGTTCGGCTAGTTCCCAATCTATGCAACTAGCCGATGACCTTGAAGGCGAAGGCGAAGACGAAGACGAGCAAGAAGAAGGAGAAGAAGAATAGACAATTATTGTATATTGTACGATTTTAAAAATATCAATTTTATCATTTTCCAATTTTTGTTTAATACCATCATTGTATGATTTTTATCATTGTTATCATTGTACAATTTTCTCAACTCAAGTAATAATAATATAAAGTATGCATTATTCACATCCAAAGTCCAATTTGCCTTTTTTCCCCGTTTTGTTACAATTTGTAAATTCATATTAAAAAAAAAAAAATTATACCAATTACTAATAAATCATAAACATTAAATTTTAAAGTAATTGTATAAAGTAAATATATAAATATAAATATTGAATATACAAATTATAAAACATAAATATTCAACTTATAATTATAAAATTCATAACTTAATAACTTATAAGTTATAAACTTATAAGTTATAACCTTATAAAACTTATAATTATAATTTTATAACTTATATACATTATAAACTTATTAATTTATAATGTTGTCATAAAAAAAAAAAAAAAATTATTTGAAAACTGCACCAGCCCGCAGGCCGGCACGTGGCCGGCACGACACGAGCCCTCCAGGCACGAGGGCCGTGCCGTGCCGTGGGCTGGCCTGTGAAAATGCCCGGCACGGCACGGCACGAAATCCTGGGCCCACCGGCACGGCACGGCACGAAATCCTGGGCCCACCGGCACCCAGCCCGTGGCCCGCGGCGGCACGACCCGCGGCGGCACGGCTCGGCATGGTGCCCAGGTTTAGTTGTTTACAAGGCCTCTGGAAGAGCAAAACTGTAAAAATGCATGGCCTCTGGAAGAGCGAAACTGTAAAACTGTAAAACGAGACGGAAAAATCAGTCAAACAACAAGTCAATGCGCGCAAAAATCCTAGCCTCGCAATGGCCTAGCCAAGCAAGGGCTAGGTAGGGTAGCATAGCCAGCCGAGCCCCTATTCGCAAGGCAATGCTTGGCCGCAAGCCCAACATGCATCGCATGCATTAGTTGGGCAAGCTGGCCGAGCAGCTCTGTTAGCAAGGCGTGGCAGCATGCCCGAGCATGGATGAGGGCTAGCAGCAGGCCTCGCAAATAAGAGCATCGCCCAGGGCTAGCAGCCCGCGTATGCTAGCGAGGCTTGCTAGCGTGGGATGTGCTGCTGCTTGGGGCCGAATACGCACGCATGTGTGCAGGAAGGCTCGTAGGCCCAGTCAGCACCAGGCCGCCAGCGAGGCATGCCCTGGTGCCAAGGCTGGGTGCTAGCTGGCGCCTTTTGATTAGGAGGGTTGTGAGGGGTGGTTTGCCTTGGGGAGCAAGGGAAGGTGGTCCTTCCCTTGTGGTCATCACCTAACCCCTTGTTCACCTCATGTCACTTGTTGTTTGATGATTGTTTTGGCTTTTTAATTTAATTTGGAATTAAATATTAATTTTGCTTTTTTACCAACTATCCTACATTGAAAGATGATGGGAATTCTTGGGAACAATTTTCTATAAATACCAATCATTTGGCATTGAGATTTTCATTTGAGTTGGTGAACTCTAAGGGATCTCTAAAAGCGAGAAAACCTTAGTTCGTAAACTCTAAATCATTTTTGGTCTAGCCCCGTCTAAGCTACGGGGTAGGGACCGGTTACGGTTCGATACCGAGGGTGTGAGCCGTTGGAGGTTCTCGCACTTGCGGAACTTGAAGCTTAAAAGTCCGAGCTTAACGGTTGAGCGAAGCACATTACTAGGGTGAGCATTCTTTCTCTCTCTTCTCTTATGTTTATGTTTATTTGCATGTTTTTATTTATGATGTAATTATTATGCATGCGATCCGGTTATCGAATTTTGTTTCCACACGGTGTCGGACACCGCAAAACCCAACAATTATGACTCACGGTTGTAAACGATTCAATAAATTGTTGTTCAATCTAGTATTTCTTTTTAGGTGTTCATTTGTGAACAAAGCTAAATTTTATTCTCACTTTTATCAAGGGAAAATCTAGCTCAGCTACCACCATTTTGTGTATAGCATTACATGATATGTTTTGATGAAATTAACAACTTTAAAATTTTTATATACGTATAATGACCCGGGGCATCACCCAGGCCATATACTAGTTTAATTATTAAAAATGATTAGTTAGCGAGTCTATGATATGATCTAATTATGTCCAAAATCTTCTGTATAGGTTGCTCAAAGTCAAATACTTCCGAAAATCGATCCCAATATCTTCCAGAATCGGGAGGGAGGCTTTAACCACTTGAGTCGTTATCCCTACAAGTATTTACTTGTATTATTAAAAATTATGAAAAATTAAGACATTATTTGAAAATATACATTAGCTAATACAATAAAATATTACTCTCTTCGTTGCTAAATATTTGACATGTCCGACTTTTTTTCACTATTCATATACTAATATTAACCCTCGTTTTTTTAGTATAACATATAAAAAACATACATTGTTAAATAGGTATTAATATTTCATAATATCAACTGTTTTTATATATTATGTATTATATATATATATATATATATATATATATATAATCATATATATCTAAGGCCAAAGTAGTGCATTGGTGTGTTGTTGTGTATGTCAAGACGTTAAATTTGACTGTGTTATTTATTCAGAAACGGATGAAGTATACAATAACTTTTGACTTTTCAAATTAGTAAAAAAAAAAATGTGGTCAAAGTTTATAGTTAGATAGTGACACAATCAAACTGCTTCATAGCGAATCGGGTACAACCCAGCTTTAGCGACCCCAGGGATATCAAACTGCTGGGATATATATTGGAGTCAAAACCAAATTGTTACGAGTATTCATAGGCAAAGGGTGAAAGAAATTGAACTTAGAGGTGTTTAATAGGCCGGATCCATGTTTGAGACACATTTTATTTAGGCTCGTTTGCTAATACATACTTCCTTTGTTCTAGTAGTATTGCAATAATTGGACTTTTGCACTATTCATCATGCTTGTTTAACCCACATTATGATTTATATGTAAAGTAAAATATAGTCATGTTGAGTTTTGTTAGATTTGTCTCGTAAAATTCTTTCACAATATCAACTTTTTATTATTTTTACTATTATATAATTATAGATATTTAGCATATAAAAGGTGTTTTGGATGCGTAATTTCATCCTTGTTGCAATATTTGTGAAACAGAGGAAGTATTTTATAATGCAAATATCATTTATTACATATTAGCAAAAATTAAAAATTTTAATATTTTAAAAATAGATGTTGAGATGAATCTAACAAGATAGCACATGACTGTATTTTTTCTCAACACGAAATCATAAAACGAAGTCCAAGCAAGTTATATGAATAATACACAAAGTCAAATCGTGTCATCTAATTTGGAATGGAGAAAGTATTGTAAAGTTGTCAGGCTTTTAACGGGGCGAGCTTATACGGGCAAATGGGCAATTGCCGAGTTCGGGTCGGGTTCTGAAATGGTCACTTCTTTTATGTTCTGAAATTCTCTGATTTCTCTCAAAACGAATTTGTCTCTTTCTTTATTGAAACGTAATCTAACCTCTCCATTGAAGCAGCTTGTGAGCTTTCTCTCCTCCATTGAAGCAGCAACTGAGGTAAGATGTTTTTCTTAATTGTCTAATATCAGTTTCACAATCTAGTTTTAATTGTTAATTCAATTTATTTAAGTTGGATTGGTTATTGAACTATTTATTTGTTATAGTTTAATTTGATGATTGATTCAAATTTGGTTGCTGGTGTATTTTCAATTCTAAAGAATGGAAAATTTTAATCTAATGTTGTAATGATTCTCATAATTTCAATCTAATGATGTAATGATTCTGCATATAATCATGCATTCAATTCAATTGTTACTGCACTTTTCGTTAAGCGCAATTTGTTGAATTCAATATACTGATTTTGCTTAACTTGATTTGATCATGCGTTTATAATTGGTACTGCTATTTCCATTAAATTCAATTATACCTGTGTAGAACTTTGATTTGATCACTCATTTATTTGTTTTCTCTAACTCAGCAATTTTATAATGCGAAATATGAAATTCTGTGCTCAATATCCATGTCTCTTTGTATTGCTTTGTTTGGGGTTTAAGAAGTTCAGCTCATTTGGAAAAACCCCTTTAAATTCTTTGAAATCTGAAGATACTCGAATTCAATGCTTTCATGGTCTTGTGATGGCCGCCTTGATCACACCTTTTTGGTCCTCTCATACCAAGACTAGCTGCTATAAATCTGATCAGAATAGTAAGTGTTGATTTTACAGTAGGCTTACTGCATCTGTTTTTTTTTTTTTTTTTTTTTTTTTCAAATTTATTTTTCTTTTTGGTGTTAATAGCTCCTTTTACATCTTAATCCCTAGCTAACCATTTCATATTTAACAACAACAACAAAGCCTTAGTCCCAAAATGATTTGGGGTCGGCTAACATGAATCGTCATAAGGAATCGTACGATATAAAGAAAAAGACATAACAAAATCATCATAACCATTTCATATTCAAATCTAATGAAATTTTTTACAGTTCATGATTTACCTTTATTGCTCAATGTGTTATATTCCTCGAGGATAAGATAGATACAGAACATATCGGGGACATAGCTCTTGTAGAACATAATCAGCATGTTTCATTGTTTCCTTACTATTGCAGTAAGATAGCTATTCTGAGTTGAATTGCTCAGAAAGATCATATGTTTTTGTGTAGCCATTTGGTAAAGGTATAAGAAATGCTCTCACTGATAGCTTTCACGCGTACACTTGGACATGTACATTTTTTTCTTTGCAAACTGATTTCATCTCTGGGATTTCTTTTGCTGTAGTGCACAAAGACTACCTTGTTATTGCAAATTCAAAGACGCAAAATTTGTTTATCTTTATATCATTTTTATGATGAAAATAATTCCTTACAAGGACTGAATAATATGTTTTGTTTGTGCCAGTGGAAGAATTTGTTATGTTTTTCAATTAGTAGAATGTTGGTAATCTGTACTGTTTTTTTTTTGACATTTGATGCATAACATGCATTTACTTTGCTTAGCTTGAATGTGTAAGTGTAGGGGTGACCAAATTTGTCTAATTTGTGAAAAAAAAAAAAACAAATATTTGCTCAAGTGACAAAAAATATCTAGAAGGAATGTAGTGAAACTAGAAATAAACCAATTTTCACTTTTGAACTCTTTGCTAGGAGACACTTATATAGATGTTGAAAGAGTATGTACTACCTCTGAATGTCAATCATACGAGCATGCTTTGTCATATTGTTGTGTCTATGTAGGAAAGAAATGATACACAAATACATTACCTATTTACCTTTCATTGTTAGCAATGATTGCTAGAGTTCCCCTCAAGTGCAGGTTTAAATAATTCAATTTTTAAATTTTTGTTTTTATATATATAATTTTTATGACGTATATGTTATAGAATGGAAAAATCAGAAATATAGGAATGAGGATGAAGAGATGGGGAAATTTGATAAATGTATATAACAGCTGTGCATTTATATTATTACTAAGGGAAACTTTAATCCCAGGCCTTCAAGTGGCTGGACAGTTCCATTAACAAGCTCAAATAAAATTCCGTTCCCTCTAACAAACTATCTGCCCCTTCATCAAGCCAACTTTAATAGGCTAATGTGCATCGTCAGAAGTGCTCCTTTCCCTTAGGCTAGTCCATTATAATCTACTCTGTATCCACTATTGAACAACAAATGGTGTACTTGAGGTACTTCCTTTTTTTTTTTTCGGGTAGCTGGTCACTTATATGTGCAACTTGTTCTTGAGATGGAGGTTTCTGTGATATATGTCTTCATGTTTTTGGTAATGCAGAAATTTTGTATCATTTATCAGACAATGGGGAGATCGACTGGAGATGATATGATTCTTAGCTACAATGATGTGGTGCTTCGACGCTCTGACTTGGATATCCTTAGTGGACCTCATTTTCTCAATGACCGTGTAATTGAGTTGTACTTCAGTTACCTATCATCATGCTATCCCTCTGATAACATCTTACTAGTTCCACCCTCAATTGCTTTCTGGCTGCAGAACTGTTCAGATAAAGATAGCTATAAAGCTTTCGTTGAACCTCTAAATCTACCCGCTAAAGCCCTGGTTGTATTTCCGGTCAACAACAACGACGATGTAACCAAAGCCGAGGCAGGAAGCCATTGGAGTTTGCTTGTATATTATAGGACTGCTAATGTGTTCGTTCATCATGACAGCTGTAGGGGATTGAACCATGCGTGTTCCAAAAAGCTTTACACTTCTGTAGCTAAATTCATGGGCAACATAGATTCCGATGTCAAGTATCAGGAGGATCAGTCCTCACCACAACAACAAAATGGTTATGATTGTGGATTGTTTGTAACTGCCATTGTGAGAGTCATATGCAGTTGGTACACAAGCAGTGAACGTGTAGACCAGGAACATATTTGGTTTTCTGATGTGAAGGAGCAGGTGACATCAACCACTGTTTCAAAGATGAGGAACGAGATTCTGAATTTAATTAAAGAACTCATGTCCGTGTCATGAGTGATGGAAAAGTTTGATCGATGTCCATTTTATTGTCTATTGTAATTCCTAGGTTTTAACATCTTAACTGTAGCTACTCTGTAGTATATACTGCCATGCTTTCCTAGATGCAGATTAAACTTGTATTTGTGTTCTGCATATAGGAAGCTGCTAAATCGATTAAGTATATGTATATGCCCTTTTGGCTCACTACTCTCATTGACATCCCCATCTCGGACCTCCCTCATTCTCGTCAATATAATCTTGTACTTTCCCTGCCCTCTTCACAAAGTAGATCTAAGACCGACGTTTTGTACATCGTCACACATACTAGCTACCAATGCATGAAAATATACTGTTGAGGTAAATTAGGTTAATGTTGGTAAATTCAGATGAGAAACCAAATCAATGTCATGGAATTATATTAATTACGTGATGGAATTATGTAAGCTAGTGAATCATTAAATATGTTACTAGTAATACTAAGCTAAGAGAGTATAGAAAATGAAGAAAAACAGCCTATATAATCTTGGCATTGTGAAAAATATAAAATATAATAAAAAGTGTCATAGAGATCGCTATAATATGTTTGATAAGAAAATTGTGCATCCTGTATGCTTCAAAATTTGGTGTAATTTATTTTGGAAACATTGAACATGTGATTTTGTTGGTCTTATATAACAATGATTTACAGTAGCCTTTTGAAAAGTGACTACCACAATACTTATTAAGTGGCATAATTTAATTGGATGTAAAATGTCACGTAATCTTTGACTTATCAAAACATATTTTAATTAAAATTTATTTTTGTAATTTCTGAAATTCTTTTTTATTTTCGAAAATTATATTTTATAATTTCTGATTTTTTTAATTTCATAATTAATTTCAGAAAATCAAAATTCAAAATAAAAAAATTAAAATTAAAAAAAACTATTATTCATTGTACTGAATTTCAACTGATGATTGAACACGGCGGCTTTGCGGCGTTGATGCTGTCCACCACCAATAAGATGGTTGTTATGGTAAAGCCGATCGCGGCGAGCACGCTCCTTCTCAGCCTCACGTTTACAAGCTTCAATTTCTTCGTCGCGGCGTTGAGGGAGATGGCGAGATGGGTTGTTATGGTGGTGGTGGATATCATCCCAAATTCTCAGGGAATTATCGCAATGTTTCTGGGTATCAACCAAATCATTGCCAGGTTGAAGCCTCTCAATCTTGTAAACAATTTTCTTAACCACCTTCTTACCTTTCCTTCCACTAATTTTCTCAGTAAGTGACCTATCAGCTTTCTGGGTTTCATCCATGGAGGTATTTTTCTTCTGCTTGGGTTTTGAGAGGTCAAGAACTTCATCAGATGGAAGAATTTTTTTTTTTTTTTTTTTTTTTTTTGATTTTATGATATTAATTAAGAAATTAAAAAATGAATTTCAGAAATTATAAAATATAATTTCAAAAAAAAAACAGAAATTTCATAAATGAATTTTAATTAAAATATGCTTTGAAAAGTCAAATATTACATGACAAATTACATCCAATTAAATTATGCATGTATAATAAGGCTTGTCGTAGCCATTTTTCAAAAGACTACTGTAAAATTTTCACTTGTATAAATGTTGACAATCCAGACCACTAAAATGTAAAGTGGCATAATGTTTATAACAAAAACAACTCACATTATGATCCATGCAAATTGCTTATTAATGGGGTTAATGAAAAATTAAGTCAGTCTTGAACAAGAAGTCTTACAAGTTACAAACTTACAATTATCTTCTTATAGTCTTTTCAACATTTTATTAGGGTGTTTATGATAAATTTGATTCTTTCTTTAAATTTAACTCTACATTAAGGGAAACCATTTTAAAAAAGGATATACGAAAATTATAGATTATTTTTATTTAAGGCCATTATTGCAAGTATATAACAATGTAATGATGCATTTGTTAATGTAATGCAATCTAATAATAATGTTAAATAAATTTATTTTATATTATCTACAAAGAAATTAAAATTAATCTTGCGATTTGTAAACGTCCATTACAAGAGCACTATACTAGTTTGTAATTAAATTAAATTCATAATTAATTTTAGTTGATCTTTTTTGGGTCAGTTAAAAATAGGTTGAGTTGACATACGTGTTCATATTTATTTTATGTATAGTGAAGAGCAAGTCAAGTTACCCAATGATAAGTAGAATAAGATCGAGTTAATGTCACAATGGATTGAGCTAATGACAGGTTGTGTCGAGTTATAATTGGTTTCGCGTTTTAGTTAGGTAAGGTGCCTATTCTGGCATATCGTTTGTGAGTCGAGTTAAAAGTTGATTGATATCAGGTCGGGTTCAGGTTTAAGTTCAAGTTCGGGTCATAAAGTATTGGATTGTTGAATGTCTTATTTTTGACAGCTTTTTACTCACCCCATACAACTAACAAGTAGTCAACCTCTATAATCCTCACCAATTATCAAAAAATTACTATTTTCTTAACATGACCTTACAAATCATTAAAAAAATACTCATAACACATTAACACTTATCACTGTGTGGAATCGAGGAATCAAGGAATCATATATTGCAATATCATATCAAACCAAGGATAATCCCAAAAATTAAGAAACTTTAGTTAAAAAAATAAAAAAAATAAAAATAAAAATAAAAATAAAAATTGTAGTCGTTTGAAAACACGCAAGCAAGTTGCAAGTGAATAGTAAGTAGTTGGTAGGGCTAACGCGGTTATAGTGCGACGGCCAAACCGTTACACGCCGGCTCCAAACCGTGTTATAATTTATAAAATAAAAACTATCCTTAATTAAAATATAATCAGACCAAATTCTATACCATAATTGTTTAATTATTACCATATTTATTTATTCATTATCGTTGTTAAACCTTAATCCGCGTATAAAACCAAAAAAAACAACATTGACATAATTAGCTGTCACTCAATATTAAGTTTACTCGTTCTTCTTATTTTCATACATTTATATAAATAAATTCCACCACTTTACTTATTCTTTGTTTACACTTGCTCACGTCTTACACCCATTCTCTCTCTGCCGAATCAAATTGGAGGATTATTGTAAGAAATTTGGAAGATTATTTAGATTGAAATTCATTTTCATCATCATCTTTCTTCAAAAAGCTCAATTTCATTTCGACGTTTGAAGTTTCGTTTATATTTGCTTCAGAAAATTTCAGGTTTGTCATCGGATTTGCTATAATTTTGATTATTTGGTTGCATTAATTTCGTTGTTTAAATTCAACATTATTTCTGTAATTTTAATTTCGTTGTTTAAATTCAATTTGAATTTTAATGCGATTAGTGTTGATTATTGCTGATTTTTAGTGTTTATTTAGTCAACATTAAATTGTTAGTGCTTTTGAAGCTGATAAATTCATTCAATTTTATTTATAAGTGATTTTTTTTTTTTCAATGATTTTTTGAAAGATTTTGATTTGATTTTGTAGAAAATTTATTTAAGTGTCTAACATTTGATCAACATTCTCATAATTTAAGATATGAGTGGAAATTTGATTGTGATTCTGGAACTAGTGTACGATTCGCCGCTAATCATTGTAATTAATTACAAGTCAAATTTGTTGATGAAATTGGACAATCGTAAAAAGTATTACGAAAAAAGTTATTCATGTTAATTAAATTTGGGGAAAATTCATTGGTAAACTATTCAAAAGTGATTAATTTAGTAAGTGCCGAAAAACAGAGGATAAAAGCAGAGCAAGTGAGTCTATTAACTATTATACGTATTAAGAAGTAAGAAATGCGGATTTTAATTGTAATACAACCGGAATTAGTTATCGTTATTATGTTTAAAATGTAATTTATCAACACGACAATTATTTTAGGACGGAGGGAATAATTTGTTGTGTTATAATAACACGGCAATTATTTTGGGATGGAAGGAATAATTTGTGTCAGTTATAATTTATATTCAGTATTGTAAAATTGTTTTGTTCTATGATCAACAAAGTAATGAATGTATAATTGTGTTTGAAGTAATTGTTAATTCGTTCACAAACTGTCTAGGTGATGAATCAAATTTAACCTGTTCACCATAATGTTGTTTTCTCCACAATGTCAAGATAGAATTAAAGAGGAAAATTAATCAAATTTGACGAAAACATGTATAAGTAATTTTAAGGCTTAATTGGGTTCGTATGATTTCATCAACAAAAACGAATACGATTTCCAAATAATCAAACTCGACAAAAGACACTTATTAAACTACCATTACGACTAATTGCGAATCAAGTAGCGTAGCACAACCTTCCTCGGCCTGCTCCATAAACTGAGATGATATTGTCAAAAGAGACTAAGTCTTAATAAGTAGACATCATCCAACTGTGATCATCTTGCACAATTAGTCAAATAATTAGATTAATCTCCATATAATTTTTTCTTTGTTTCTTACGTTTTGGACTTCATCTCCACTTGTGTAACACTCCTAACAACCCCAGGAATTGTTTACTAATCTCTGTTTTTGACCATTTCACTACATTAGCATCACAATACTAAATATATTATTGAATTGCACGTTTGATTTTCGTCGTTAAATAATATTTGGATCTTCTAGGAAATCAAGGAAGATTGATGCAAATTAGCTTTTGTTGTGTGATAAGCATACATTATTTGATGTATATAACTTTTAGGGAGATGAAAAGGCATTTCCAGCTCTTTGAACATGATGTACAATAATAACACTAGCTGATCAAATTATTTTCTTTTCAGATCCAAAATCCTCTCTGGTGACACTGGCGAGTGATAAAGAGATGACTGATCAACGAGTCTACCCAAGAGAATCACCACCGGATTCTGGTGAACACTCGAATGCTAAGCTGATGGCGAATTCTAATTCACCTTCACCACCAGTATCAGGTGAGCATCAGCGGCATGGGCGGAACATGAGTCAAGACTCATTCGCCTCCTCTAAGATGAGTTATGGCTACGGTTATGGTCCTAACCCTGGAACTTACGTTGTGCAAATACCCAAGGATCAAGTATACCGCGTCCCACCACCAGAAAATGCACATAAGTTCAAGCTCTACACCAAAAAGAAGGCTGGCAGAAAGGGGTGCAGACGTTGTTTTTGCTGCATATTCGCTGGAATACTCATCCTTGCTGCTCTACTCGCCGTCACCGGTGCAGTTTTATACCTTGTCTACAAACCTAAGGCTCCTAGCTACTCCATTGAGAGTGTGCACGTTAAAGGAGTCAACCTCTCAACAATCGCAACATCCTCAACCATTACTCCGGTGTTCAACGTAACGTTGAAGTCCACGAATAACAACGGTAAAATCGGGATTTACTACGAACAAGGGAGCTTGATTAAGATTTACCATGATGGGTTAAATCTATGTAATGGTAAATTGCCAGCCTTCTACCAGCCCCCTAAAAGCTCAACGGTTTTTTCAACAAAGTTAACGGGGGCTGGGATCGTATTGTCCGAGTCAGCACGTGACAAACTGCTCACACAACAAAAGAATGGAAAGGTACCATTAGACATTAACGTTAAGGTCCCTGTTAAGATCAAGATAGGATCCATTAAGACATGGACTATCAACATCGAGGTTTCGTGTGGTGTAACGGTTAACGCGTTGGCGACGAATTCCAAGGTTGTATCAAAGAAGTGTAAGGTTAACGCCAAGCCATGGTAATGTGGGTAAGACTGTACCCTAATTGACAAGAGCTCTTTCAGGCATAATTGATGGTTTTGGTGGGACCTAATCAAAATTGATTGACAAGAAGAGGATGACAAATTATGGAATGATCTTCTTTAATCCTACCTTGTGTTATTTTATTCTTTGTAAAACATTTTTTTGGGAAAACTTTGTTGTTAAATATTTGATGTTTATACTACTGAATTTATGCATTCAAAAATTGAGGGGGTGTTTTCTCAAGTGAAGATGGAAAACAAGAAAGGCAAAGTAATAGAGTTATACAAAATTTGAGGACATATGTATAATTTACGCAATAAATGATAATGTTTTGTCATGAAATATGAAGATTTGATTCGTCTTTGTTGTTTATATTTCTCATTCCACCTAGCATTTCATATATAAAAATAGAAAAAGAATTATCAGTTTAACAACATTTATTAAAGCTTCCTTTAATTCATCGGAAAAAACTTTAAATAAAATACATTCAAAGCATTTTACTGTCGCCTAAAACCTAGCTAATTTGAGTAATTTGTGCTGACTTTCTCTTTTATTTTTCTTTTTTAAAAAAATTACTCCCTCGGTTTTTTTTTAAGGAAAATAGGCTGGAGTAATGGAGTATCAACTATAAGTAGTGCGTGCAAAATAATACGACCTCAATCAGCTATTAGTGGTGTGTACAAAATAATACGAATTCTTATATGTACAAAATGATACGCCGACCACCAGAGAAGATATCTCAAGGAATATTTCGTTCATATTCATTCTAATATGATTTTTTATATTAAATATTAAGTAACACAGAAAATTAAAAAATAAATAAATACTACTGAACATGTCCTTTATTGTTTGATAAATAGTTGCTTAATTACCTGAAAATCGTGTAATTGCAGATTAATCGTTACCCGTCCAATTCTTAGGAAGTTAACTTTTGCTAAATTAGGAGAGAAGATCTACAACATCTGGGATTTAGAGCAATACATGGGCATTGCACTTAATTTTCAGCCATCAAGCATGCAAAATAACCCAAAAATTCATCGTAAGAGATGAATCCAATGACAGATCTGTACTGACCATTTTGCTTATACTAAACCTACTATAACTTTTGCATTTCATGTATAAAATTTAACCAAATACATCATTCTGCTATTTTCTTACAACAACAATTGAATCAGCTGATAGAAAGGACTACATGACTTTGTAGGGAAGATATAATCAAATTAACTCCTTTTATTAAACTCGTAACGAGTGAAGAACCTTCGAGACAGGAGTATATCTTTATTCTTCATCCCTGTACATATGCCAAAACCAATAAAATTTTACCCCACCTCCATTGAAGAAAGAATATATATACCTGTATCCGTATACCATATTGCCCCTGTCAAACAGCTATAATTACGGTTGAGACATCTTGTGCTCATAGAGTCTCTTAGCTTCTTCAATTTTAGTCTGTAGCTCCGTAAACATATTCAGAGAATGATCTGAAAATTTACAAAGCTCATTGAGAAAATGGACAAAACTTAGTTGGAATCGATCATAGCCTGTATTCCACTCCTCAAAGCCTTCATGAGTACGCATTTCAACCACAGGTTGTGCTTCTTTGAAGGTCCTCTTCCCATGGACTTTCTCTTGGTGAGGAATGAAGTGTGATATCTCGGTTGCTAATCCCTTGATTTTATCTGCCACTTCCGTCACTGACAAATCTTTGAGTGAGTCATGCCAAGCACCACAGATGGTGTATATTGGAGGGCCTGCAGATCTCAATCTCCGCTCTGGTGGAGGCCCCCACCTTCTCTTCTTTGAAGATGCCTCCTGAACAATGACACATTTGTTTAACCATTCATTAATTGCCTGGATGTAAGACTTCAGAGCATTGATCCATTTGGTGAAACTCAATGACAGTTTGTGCAATTCGTCTTCAAGTTGGAGAGTGATGTAACGACGTGATTCTGATTGTAAGGATAGTTTCACATTGCCATTTATGAATGCAATAGTAACTATATGCACCTGTAACTTGTGGCATTCAAACATCACTCCCCACATTCTTCGTAATCTGTCATGAAATGAACCTCGTGAGAGAAGCATTCAATCCAAGGAAAAACAGTTGAGACCACAGTGATCACAAGGCCGTCTAAATCGCCTCAATTATAAAATTTCAGCCACATGATGAGCAAGACATTATTATACTCGAGTAATGAGAAACAAGGAAAACTCAATGGTAGGTCTCCCATCCTACAAACACCAGTCAGGGTCTGAATCTCATCCCCTCCAACCTTATGATTGAAGTAATGCTTATACGGCGATGGGACTACAGGCCCTTTGCTAACTTGAGACCAGGATTTAACACTGCTAGATTATTAGTGTGATGTTAGGCCTTTAGCATGTAAAAATGCAGTGGAGCTTAGTACTCAGTAGAGACTAGCAATTTTTGCGTGTTTAGTTTTTTGTAATTTAAAAAAAAAATAAAAAAAAAATAAATTAAAATAAAATTAAAAAAATAAAATGAGATAATTTTCCTCTATCATTAATTCCACCTCATACAAAAACCCCAAACTCTTCTACACCATGAAAGCTTTGACCATCCTTTACCACCACCCTAAAGACCATCCTGACCCCTAGTCCACCACAAACATCACCAACTGCCCAAACCAAAAGAAACCCTACTACCTAACTTCACCTGCCCAACTACAACACCAAACATGCCGAAATCGGAAAGTTAGAGTTTCTATGTAATCCATTATTTTAGGTCATGATCCAGAATCAAGTGGCTTTTATAATGCTTATGGAGCCTGAACTACAGCAGATAGCCTGAAGATTGGTTTTGCAAAAAAATTGTCATAGAATTTTACCTATACTTCCTAGTAGTAGTAGTAGTCCATTTCAGATATTTATTTTCCTTTTAATACAAAATCGAGCTTCACAAAAAGATTTATTTTTTAATGAAACCATAAAACTTGGCATATCTTTGGTACTGCTATTTCTGATTGTTGAACTAAGAAACCTGGAAGGACATACCCTTCAATTAATTCCTCAAGTTGTGGCTGCAGCTCTTTGTCCCGCAATTCTTCGATTCTTCTTGATATTGAATCGATTCTGTGGATTGCAACTCGAATCCTAGAATGCAAATCCTTGACAACAGCACGAGTCTTATCAATCTTCTGATGACTTTCACTTGTAGATTCTTGTTCTCTCAAAATCTTACATTTCATGTCATACTCCCTTCTGACAAGCTGACTAGCCTGTAATCAGAGCATGTTTTTACAGATAGAACAATATAAAAATGAGGACAGTACACAAACCATCATTAAGGTCATATAAGTATCACAATATGCATTAGTAGATTGCCATCAAAATACAATCATTTTTGCCACACATTATATGGAAAGTAGCATTCAAACAGTAACTTTCTGGATGAAACATTTTTTTTTACTCCAATAGCAGAAAAGGTCCCACTCTTCTACCCTTTACCCGGGAGTCTTTGCCTATTCAACAAATTATACATGTCCATCGTAAGAAAAGCGTGCACAACAGAACCACATTTAATTACAGAAACTATTTCTATTGAACAGCCCAACAATTAGTCAGCTATGCAGCAAGGAGTATCTATGCAAAAAACATGGTAGAACCTATTTAGTAACTAACATGGCAAGACCATGTCCCAAGATTCTCAAATATCACGAAAGACGGGCTATGAATCCATGTTCAAGCATTCAACCTTTATGACATGAAAGTAGACATAGAAAAGTTGCCATATCCAGAAAAATTGTCACATTACAAAATAACCTAGTGATATGGACTATAGTGACAAACCTAAAGCCCAATACTATTGACCCTGAAGAAAGGAAAATTTTGGAGTTAGGATGAATGGAAAACACACTAAGTTAAGACTACATAATTTCTAGATAAAACCATTAATTATCAGAAATATGATAGCAAAGCACAAACATTGCAAATTTTATCTGTCTTAATGGAACCAGGGAAATTTGCCTAAAAAATATTCTAACTTAACATCCTAAAAGGTCTGTTTCATCTTTATCTGTCTCAATATGATTGTGACTTGACTAACAAATTATTGGCGAACATTGTTAGTTTGTTATATTAAATATCACCTATTGCTAAAAGATGGGAAAACAGCAAGGTTTGACCCATTGATTAGCCAAATGCCAAAAGTTACGAGGAAGGATCTAGCATATTCCTATTGCAGCAACAGTCTACCCAAGTCATTTCCCAGATCCAGGCTGGTTTAATATGCTTACTCAAAACTACTGGGTGTTTAATTCCAAGCCACAAAATAATTTGGAACCATTGTTTACCCAAATTTAAACAATCATACAAACCACATAACAACTAATAGAACAGTATACACTAATTTTGAAAACTGCAACAAATCTTCAACTAATGGCATACCAGTACATAGATAGCTGAATCAATCCCAAACTATAAGGACGTCAGCGGATATGAAAGTAAAGTTGAGAAAGGTCCAGAAAAAACAGTTAAGGGAAGATTAAATACCTTAACTTCATCATATAGCTTTCTCTCCCAGGCAAAAAGTCTATCTAAAGTAGAAGCATGACTACCAGAATTCATGTAGATATTATCAAACAGATCACTTGTAAAGTCCTCAACATCTTCTCTTGCATGTGAATCAAGTGGGTTCCTGGATGATGATGAGCGGAACGATGTAGTCCGATGCCACGTCAAGTATTTCATTGAGGACTGAGTAGGCTCTGAAGGACAAAGGAAAAAAAAAAAAAAAAAAAAAAGATTAACAGCTAATAACTCTTAAAATTCATCACATACAAAATGAAAGCCAGACTGGTCAGAGACAAAGAACAAATGCTGCAAGCTCTTCCAACTATGAAAAAGCAAGCTCTTTGGCAATTGACATCAGCATCAAACTAGCAAATTGCAAATCTATAAACAATTGAGTTCATGATATCCCAAAATCATAATATCAAAGTTGTGGTATATCCCAAAATCATAATATCAAAGTTGTGGTATATCCCAAAATCATAATATCAAAGTTGTGGTATACAGTCTATACACTTCTCTAACTGTTCTTATACATTGCCAAAAACATACTATTCAAATTAATAGGTGGGAGTACATAAATTGTCAGGAAAAAGTAACTACTGGCCGTTTCTGATACGTGCAACATATTTCCTTTAGGAATGTTTTACTAAACATGCATCATTTCCTTTCAATGAAATATTTTTTTATTTTGGGGGTGAATTCACTTCACTGCACATTATATAAGCTGTGCACGATTGCTTCACAAATTGAAGAATCAGTGATGGGTACTTAGCACTTAGCAGGTACCTGGATGATATGGGTACTCCATG